GTATTACCTGGGGGTTTTTGGTATCGGGGATTACGAATCTGAAGTCAGAATTTTAAAATTCAAAATGTCGTATCCAATATGGCTGACGAATTTTCAAGAAATTGTTTAATTTCCATAAGAATGTGAATACTGGTGTTTTTGGGGTCGCTTAATACGAACTTGGAGTCAGATTTTCAAAATTAGAATAAATAATTATTTTAAAATACACTTCTTTGTTTTGCCTGCAGTTAGCCTACTGTGATAGTAGTTTCCAGGGTCTACCGCGAGGAGGTTGCAGTGCTATTATAGACCCCATTTTTTTTTTAATTTTATTTATTTTTTTTTAGTTTTGTTATTTTTTGTGTTTTTTTGTTTTTTGTTTCTTGTTTTATATATTAAAAAATTTTTACGGTGACACAATATACACGTTGCGATAGTAGTTTTTACAATGTTAAAACATTTTTTTAGCCCCCTTAAAATGTTTTTTAGCCGATATAAAAAAATACGTATCAAATATTTTCCATTAAAGAATATGTAGACCAAATTTCAAGACGATCGGTGATTAACACTTGGGTAGTGTTACTTGTGAGAATTTTTGGATTTCCTAGGTATCTTTGTTCAAAATTCCAGGTAAGACTAGAAAATTTTTAAATTTAACTTTGGAATAAATTGCAGTACAAACAACGCAAATAAACTATATATTGAAGATTAATAGAATACAGAGATTCTACGAGATTATATTTATCATTTGCTATAACTGCGGCGAATATCCATCGTATAATATAAGAAAGCTGCAATATAATACCTACATAAATATATACATACATACAAAAATATCGGTGAATTACTCTATTCTGTGAGTATTGTTTTCTACTATCATTCTATTTTTTTTTTTAATAAAAATTTGCGAGATACACAGCAAGAACATATATTTATTACTGATTATCAACATTTTGTATTATCAAAAAAAATGATCAAAGAAATAATATTTTCAAAAACAGATAAAAAAAGTAAAATTCCAAAAATTTCCCTGAATCTCGATAAAATTCCATAAAAATCCTTGATTTTCAAAGGTAAAAAAATCCCTCGAAAATTTCAAGTTTTCTAAGTTTTTCCAGGTAGTAAACCCTGTTTTTCCTAATCGCTTTTGAAAGCTAGCTCGTGGCCCGATATTTTGAACCGGTAGAATTTTAAATTAATTCTCTAAATTAATCAGAGAATCAAGATTGAAATTGCAAATTGTCTAGAATATTCTGAAAACGCAAAGTGCAACGAACCATCTCGCGACTCATTATTACGTTGCATTCGCCAAGAAAAAGAGAGATAAGTACTGACCGAAAACGTTTTCGAGCTATCAGAATAAATTCCAGCAAGCGGCGAGAGAATCCCGCGGGGTCGAAAGAGCGGAGCCCGCAAGCATTTTCTCGCTCCGCCGGATAGCCATATTTTTTCTCCTTATTTCCGCGTTCCCAAACGTGGTCGCTATTTTTTCACACTGCAATGTTACACTTTATGAACTCTGCGCTCGACACGTTCGTCCGTCCGTCCATCCAGCAAGAATTGCGTTTTCCGTGGTAACGCGAAATTGAATGTGCACGGTTTATGACGCACGGAATTGTGTATCGTTAAATGCCAGCGCAAAAGATGGGCATATATATGTATTATACATGGGCACGACGCTAGCTTTTTACGATTTATGCAAGTGCCGCTAATACTCCTCGCAAAACATCTACGAGGAATGTACTTCGCACAAGATTCGTCGAGAACAATGCGGAAAATGCTAGGCAATTATGTGTCCGACGCAGAAAAGTTATTTATGTCGTTTTAACTCTTTATGAAATAACGTGGAGTGATATAAAGAAAAGGTATAAATATGTGCTGGAAAAAGAGTGGTTGCATTACATGAAATTCTAATTAAAAACGAACAAATCAGAATTTTTCGATTAAGGGTGCATTCGGGGAGACGCTATTCGTGCTATTTAGCGCTACTGTTCGTGGAGCTACAGATAGCGCTAACAAACACGATCATGGCGTCACTAATGGTAGTGTGTTACGTCACAACTGCGCGCTATCAACGCTATTTCTTCCGAGGTAGTGTATTGGTAGCGTTAGCGTTTGCAAGCTCTGTGAACAGTACTGCTGTATTATCGCACATAGGTTGAATGTTGTTTCAACAATCGTTATAGGTTATATACGTTCCTAAGTTGTCCATAGGTTCCCTGTACATTAAAATTTAGGCTGTGTTTCATAAAGTGGCATCTACAATAAGATTTTAAAGCGTAAAATTTAAGCTTTAAGTCTTAAGCCTTAAGAAATTGATTAATCACGGTCAAATATGAGGAGAACACTCGAATTTTACGCCATAAAATTTCATTGTAGACGCCGCTTTATTCATTGCGAGTACTATAGACTTATTACGTACATTTACTCTACGAAATTGCAAAGAGAGAAAAGTTTAGTTGGTGCCGTCGGTGCTTGGGAACAGAATCCTCTACATTAAACGCTACCAACGCTCGCTAGGGTTGTTCATGGAGCTTACCAACGCTATCGCGCTATTGGCTCCACGAACAGCGTTGGTAGCGTTTGCGTCCATAGCGCGAATAGTGTCTTCCTGAACGCACCCTAAATCTACTTATTATAATTTTAATTGAGATAACGAAAATTCTAACTGGTTCTCAGAATTTTCTGATTCATTCGTTTTCAACCAGAAATTTTTCTCAGTAAGTCTATTTAACCTTTTATCAGCCAAATTGGACTTTAAAGGCACAGTCGATATTTTTTTTATTTTAAATTCTGATAGATAAATAATTCATAAAAAATAAGTAAAATACAGTCTGACTTTTACGATAGTAAAATCTCGTCATTAAAGATTTCGTAAGTATACAAGATTTTTTCTCAAAGACCAAGATTGCTAATGGAAAGGGCAAAATTCCACAAGGTCGACAGAAAGGTAATAGTCACAGTTTAATCGCAAGGAACGATTAAAAAATCTATATATGTCATATCTTTTACTAAAATTTTATTAAGTACTATTAGCATTAGCAGATACAATTTATTAAACTCATATAATGTAATCTTTTATCCAGAAGACAGTTATTTTGTACTCCGCGGACACAACGTGTAAAATATATCATCTCCGGACACTGTCACAACTAAGGCCATCGTACCAGGAAGTACATTATGTACCTACTATGTAGCAAGTTTAATAATAATATGAAGTACTCGGTTCTTTGCTCGGTACTTGAGTACAATTTGATATTTACGGAGCAATATTTCAACTTTACACTCCGCCTAACACGCTGATTTATTGCAACCATGGTGAGAAAAACGATGAATTTCCCTCTTCTATTTTTTTTTACTTCCGCTTTATATGCTGGCAAGATTTTCCTACGTTCCACGCGTGAGAAACGTAAGGAAATCGATATTTCTTTCTTAATAGGAAAGTAAAGTCTGATTTCGCGTGCATTGTGGCGAGACGGTGATTTATAGGCGACGTGATATTTGGCTAAAAATTTCAACCGAGCTGCGTATAATATACGAATTTAATCCTCGCATTTTCACGTTAGCTGCCACTTCGTTCGTATCAATAGCAGCTTTATAAAAAAAAAAACAGAACTCGAACAAAATCACTACAGAACATTTCCAATAATAACAAAATGTCACAAAGCTAAATATCTGAATAATCTGATCTGACACACTTATCGTCCATTAAGCTACTAAGTGAGTAAAATGCGAGCAGTAATTCGTCCAGGGATCAAAAAATAGAAAATATCATTAAATCAATCCATGTACTCCGTATAAGGATTATACTCTTATTTGTCCAGTTCAATCGATACCAACGTTTATAACATCGTTATCGTTACAATTATTACTTCATACTATACGGTGACATTAAGTTCGCTCGTTATTGCTCGAGTTGATTAAAAGCTTCGGGCCAAATTACGTAACAAAATTCGTTTTAAATTTCCGAATGTAATCGTGATAACGGCGATATTGGATTCATCAATTTTTCCTTCTTTTTAACGTACCGTCGAACGAACACGGGAGATGATATCGTCCGTGGACGTATCGCAATCTACGTAAACGGGAGCGGAGAGATTTCATGGCCCGATATAACCCACGTCAAAATATGCAAATTCCCGTTACGCAAAACCGCGACATCGCAATGTCCACAATACGATTTCGAAATAACGCCGGCGGAATTGACTTGTACGAAAAGAACAATTTTGCAGAATTTTAAATTTAGATAAATACAGACCTGAAAATAATTTTGACCATCAAAATAATTATGTGAGGAAACTCAACATATAATGAGCAAAGTTACAAAAAAGCATTTTGATGTTCTAACAACTTGTTTGAGTATCCTACGGAAAAATATTATTCTATTGCAAAAAAAAGATTACTCAATTTACTTATTTCTTTTAAGTAACGGTTCTCTTCAATAAGGAAAATATTTTCTTAAAAATTATCTTAAAATATACTTATATTACAAATTTTAGAAAAACTCATTATGTATTCAAAGCAAGAATTTATTTTCTAACAATATTAAATCTCATAAGAATTTATTTTCTTTTAAAGAATATTATACAATTGATCGAAGCAGCAACTTTATGTAAAAAGCAAATCAAATTTGTTTTAATTTTAATTTAATAATCCTGATCGAAGTAGCAAACTTATTGGGATTCAAAATATATTTTCAATAAATGTAATGCTTGTGATGAACTTATGATAGATTATATGATGGACATATAAATTCTTTTAAAATATTTGAAATAAATAATTATTATTTGTGTACAGTATTTTTTTGTGTGTAACAAATTATTTTGATAGTCTAAATAAAATTATTTCCAGATCTGTGGATAGCTAAATTTTTAGAACTTCAGCAAAATCATTTTTTAAATATGTGAATGCAAATGTTTTTTAAAGTAATTCAAAAATATTCAGAGAATTATGATATATAATTCTCATACACATAGGAAAGTCAGGAAAGCAAGGAACGGTGAACATCAAGCAGGTTCTTCTTTCATCGAAAAATATTGGTTTATTCGACTATCAGACTCTTCCGTACACATATATGAATCAACTTTTGTAATGACGTAATTTGTACAAAACGATGAATTCTCTGCAGTACAAGAAATACTGCGTGTCGATAAAGTTCAAACGAATCGGTAAATGGTCAACGAGGAAATCTCGCAACGACGCCCTTTTCAAACAGACAATACTGAATATATAGATATACTTTGACATACAACGACCGTTTTTCTCCCTTCGAGGCGTTAACAGTAATATATCTATAATTACTTTCTTATATCGCAACGATCATGCAAGGAAGGTACATTCTAAACATGAGGCCGACCGATGTCCTTAATCAACGAGAATAAAAAATATGTGTCAACGTAACGAGTCGCGATAACAAAATGTACGTATAAAAAAAGGTAACATGATGAGGTAACGAGGTAATCAAGGCTAACGATTCCGCCGTTCGGTGAGAGAATTAGGAGGAAAAACAGGAGGAAAGAATTTCACTATTTCGCATAAAAAACGTATTTTTCAAAAAGGCCGGAAAATCCACTTTTCGCGGTTCATTCAATGGATCAATCGCGGTATAGAAGTACCCGAAGTAAAAGATAAAATTTCAGATACGCCAGCCAATTATTCCCTATTGCCTCGAAGAACAGTAAAAGGGAAAGGGAGATAAGAGAAGACGGAAAGAAAGCTCGACTACGAAGGGGGGGGGGGGGTTCGATCGGAGGAACAAGATAAATGGAACGGCTCGATCCACGTGACTTCCTTATTCCTCGCCTCCTTAGCCACTTAGTTGCTGTTGGACTGTTCCCGTTTCAGCGAGCCGAGTTCCTCCAGCATCGCCTGAAGTCCTTCGGGGACTTGTCCGGCGTCCAATTCCTGAGTCCACTGACGATACTGCAGAAAAACAAATGATCGTGTGTAAAGTACGTAAATTCCGTCTCTCCGATCTGGTCTCGTAATGTCTCATAATGGTACTAAACCGTCATGCTGGAGATCTTCGGTGGAATCAGAAGGATTTAGGAATGGCCTCATGGATACGCAAGAACGCTGGACTTGTTGGAATTTTTCAACTGCTTCTCTTGCAATACTCAGCGGCAGAATCAATAGATTTGAATAATCTCCTCGACACATTAAATTTTCTCAGTGCACGTCGTTAACGAGCATTTCCGTACGGCGAAGAAGACAAGAACAACGAATGCGACCAATCAATAATCAATAAACGATAATTCTTTATTTCGAGATTTTTTTATAAGTAGAACCTTGTTCTCTATTATTCTATCGTTGAACTTCATTCAGATTTATTACGGAAAAATAATATATTAGTCGACAACAGTTTAATTGAAAATAATCTTGTAGATTTAATGATAGCATAAGTATTAATAAAATAAATACACTATGCTCTTGTTTTAATAAAATATTATTTAATTTATTAATTGTGATTAAATTAACAAGATTATTTGCAATCAGATTGTTGTTGGCTGATATTAATATAATATTATTTTTTTACGTAATATAAATCGTAATCGAATAAAGAAAACACTAATTTTCATATAAATGATAGAAATTATTTGTATGAAATATTTCCTACTATAGAAGCTCACAAAAATAAATAAACTGTCGAACGAACCCGCGTGAAGTACTCAAATAATTCTAACAAATACGAGTGCTTTTCTGCGACAAAACAAAACAAAGCTAGCAGTATTGCTAAAGAGCGAACCTTTGTATTTCGCCAGAACTTTACACTTTTGCGAGTAACTTAGTTTGCACTTCGAAGGAAGGTTTAAGGAAGACGATAAGGAAGACGATGAGAAAGGCGATGGAAAAGAAAAAGTTTCGAGGTTCTCCAGCTTCCGAAGAATCTGCTTTCCTTTATGTTCGAGATACAACTAATTCAGAGAACTTTAAAGCACATATTTTTTTCTCAATAAAAAAGCGAATTTATTATAGCTTTTGTTTCTATTTTATTCGATTAATGATATAGTACAATCAAAAATTGATATAAATAAATTTTTAGATATATTTGATTTCTGTCTTAATTATAAACGGTGATTTATATAAATATACAAGATGCTTTAGAAAGTGTGTTACAGTGCTTCGTAAAATGTAAAAATTGCTTTTATTAAAATTATATGCTAACAATTTTCAAACTATAAGCTGTTAAAACTCGTGAACTTTTCGCGAAATAAATGTCAGAATAAATATCGAAACATTATCTATAATATTTCAACTTTAAGTTTTCACTTCGATAAAATATCGGTATTTATATTTAAAAAAGAAAGTTAGTTATAAAAACTGAAATATTGAAATATAAAAGTAAACGATGCTTAATTTTCTTTAATACTTCCGCTAAGAAAGAATTACATTTAAGTTTTATTAAAAAAAGTACAGTATAATATTTTCACATTTTCTGCCAATTGTAAAATACTCAAGTCTAACAAAATTTATTAATATAAGCCGCAATTTATTCATAAGCATTTATCATTTATCTTATTGCAACACGCAGCTTATTCGTCGCAATGACCATTGATTTTTAAAGGAGAAAATCCTGGATTCTTTGCTCTCCATTCTCGCTCGTTCATTTATAGAAAGGTTAAGAATATGACTCACCATCTCGAGCTCTTTCCGCAGAGCAAGCACCGCCTTTTCTCGATCGGCCACAAGCTCCTCCAGGTACTGATACCTCAGCTTCTTACGAGCACGGCACTCCCTCGCACTCTGCCGGCTTCGTTCTGTAACAGAATAGCAAACGAACGAGAGTGAGAAAACGCGGATCCATATTAACACGAAGAATCGATATGTAAAGCAGCCCAATCCTCTAGACTAAAGTTTCGGCCCCGAATTCGCGCCGAGCATAATTTCCCCGGTTTTCGTCGTCAGGTTGTGACATAACGGCAAGCCAAGTGGCAGATATATATATATCACGAGCTCTACAAAAATTCACGATTTAATAATGTCGCCGAACGCGCAAGACGCATGGTAATGCCGCAGCATATGCGACCGAAAAGCGGAAACTTTTACGAAGATGGACGGTATGTTACGGTAAGCTATGATTTTGTTCGAACATAGGAGAAAATAAACGTGTCGCATGGAACAAAGTCGAAGCTCAACGGAATGCGAAACCGATTTAAATAACGACGTCGTTGCAATCTGAAATCTCTAATATTCAAATCCTCGAATCCTATGCGGTTCTAGAATTTTATCAGATCGTTGATTTCTGTGCACTTTATATTCCAAAATTCTCTCGATTCTTGAATTTCCCGAAAGTCCGGGATTTCTATGGACCGCATTTTATTTCTTTATAGTCACGTTTCTGCTCAAGAGTCCAACCAGTGAGTTCTTTGAGCAACGCAACGCGATTCAACCTTCCGGAGCTAAGGCCAAAATTTGTAACACAGTTACTGACACTTTCTCTATAAGACCTATATTTAATTTATGTTAATTAATTTCTAGAAACCAAAATGATATAACTCGTATAAAAAAATGGATATATTTCACTTATAAGTATACACAGAAAATTTCTATTGCTAATAAAAGACTATTCAATTTACTTTCTTTAAGTAACAGTTATCTTTAACAAAGAATATTTTCTTAATGATAATCTCATAAAATACAGAACTTATTTAGAAAAATATTACCTATTAATATGTACTCAAAATAAGAATTCTTTTGAAAAATATTTTATAAAATTGATCGAAGAAATGACTTTTTTTTATATAATAAGCAATTCGAGCATTTGTTTTAATTTAATAGTTTTGATTGAAGTATTAAACTTACTAGGATTCAGAAATTTATATTTTGAATAAATTTAATGCTTGTGATGTCATGCGATAGATTTACGGATATATGAACTTTTGAAATATTTGAAACAAGTAATTATTATTTGCATACAGTATGTATATAATCTTCTGTATGTACATTTTAATAAGAATAATTCAAATTTGCAAACGTAACATAAAGAAAATTGAATTATTCGACATTTTTACTAAAGAAATTTATAATTGAGTGAGTCCAATAGATCCACCGTCAGCTCCGAAGCATTAATAAACGAAGACTCAATTTAATTTGACAACATTCGTCACGTCATATTTACATTCAATAAAACATTGACAATAATAATAGTAAAATAAGTTAATTTACATAATACTTTCAATTTAATAAAACAGATTTCAATCTTCAAACAAATATTACATTTTATTAGCTCGGTGTTCGAAATCATCCGAGATAGAGGCAGAATATACAGCACGGGTTGTTTTGTTTATTTCATAACGCGATGTAAAATATTTTGTAACGATGACGAATCGGTCATTTTTGCACATCGTACAGCCAGTGCTGTTTATTTGGCGAAAGGTCGCGCGTTACCCCGCGCGGGGGTTAGATTCGGTCAGACACGCAGCGGCGTGAACCACGTAACGACACGTTCAGACTCGTCCAAGAGTGTTCCGTTTCGCGCATGATGTATCATTTTATCTTTTTTTAACATTCAGTGAACATAACAAGGATACACCATGCGCATCATGTGTGAAACAGAACGCATTCTACACGGAAACATATCCGAAAATAATTTTGTTGGACTATCAAAATAATTATGTAGAACGCTCAAACTGTTTGTTATAACGTCAAACTTTTTACAGCATCGATTATTATATTTGAAATTCCTGCGTAATTAATTTGAGGGCCCAACAAATTTATTTTCAGATCTATATCTAGCTAAATTTTTAGATATTTCAGCAAAATTGTTCTTTCTGTGTAGAGGTCTTTCTTTTATTCTCGTATTAGACTGTACTATATAGAACTTTCTTTCTCGTTTTCGCCAAATATCAAACATATATCTATCTCACTTTAAGTTTCAAAGCGTACGCTATAATTCAGCTACAGAAAACAAACCTTAGATAAGTTGCAACACACAAAACGCATTCGCAACCTGTCACGATATTAGACAGTCAATCAGAAGCAATCAATAGTACCATTGACGCTTCTAATTGTGTCATGATAAACGTTACGAATGCATTTTGCGTGTTGCGATTTATCTACACGAGCCTTTACCTATCAAGACGTAAACACGACAAGTAGCGGTCATTTCCTACGAGCATCGTAGCGATTATCGAATCGCGTGATTGTACTAACTTTCGCGTTTAACGACTCGTTGATGTATAGAGGTAACGCGACGATCACTCACAGTGAAGCGAATACTCCGATTAACTCATTAGAAGCGGAACTTGAGATGATACGGATGTAATTTGACTAACATTCACCTTAATTGAAAACGTGGAGAATGTGAAAATGACGAAACATGAATCGTCAGATATCATAATTCTCGAATAACGGGAAAGCGCGAAATATTAACTATTAATTAACGACTCGTTGATGTATAAAGGTAACGCGACGATCACTCACAGTGAAGCGAATACTCCGATTAACTCATTAGAAGCGGAACTTGAGATGATACGGATGTAATTTGACTAACATTCACCTTAATTGAAAACGTGGAGAATGTGAAAATGACGAAACATGAATCGTCAGATATCATAATTCTCGAATAACAGGAAAGCGCGAAATATTAACTATTAATAATATAATTAACTGCCTTCTCTCGAGAAAAGAATTTCTGATAACGAAACAAAATTATTCTCTTTTGAAACACTTAATCTTATCGCAAACTTATGCGTATAAAAATAAAACAATATATTAGAGGAAAAGGTAGTATCATGGCCAGTGTACATATTGTGGCCTCCTTTAATACCTCTGCTATTATATAGCGAATCCTAATGATTACTTACGGAATTATTAGTTCAGTAGCTCGCCGTTACATCATGATGCTAATATCACCAATATTCAATAGCCAGCACTTATTATAATTTTTACTTTTTTACTTTTAAGTATTTCGAAACATTTCTGAGATACACTTTAACATTTAATTATATCTACTTCCCCCCTTATTTTTCTTAAACTTGAGCGTATTATCACATGAATATATGTATTTTTGAGTGTGTTATCGCTATTTAACATTTTATTTGATTGTATATATTTTGATTGTATATATACATATCAAAATAATTATTTGATAATCGATTGTAGCTCTACTGTTAATCTATAATTTATATTACGTGTACTATTTTTAGTACTGAGATTTTTAATACTGAGCAGCTTATACGCAAAAGAGAGAGTTATGTGAATGTATAATGAGAGTGAAGCTGGCAGCCAGAC